CTGGAGGAACTGGAGGAGTGGTGGAGAAACTGGAGGAATGATGCTGGAGGAACTGGACAAGTGGTTCTGGAGGAACTGGAGGAGTGGTGCTGGTGAGACATGGGGCTCACATGACGATCTTGAAGGAGCTGCAAGAGATACAACAGGTTCTGCACCTCCTCGCTGGGTCACACAAAGAGTTTGCGAGCGCCCACTGCTGCAGGGACCCACGTTCCCATGTGGGAGAGGCTCTGCAGAGCCAGCTTGGGATGCAGCTCGCTCTGCCATTGTGGCAGACCTGGCAGAGGGCAGCCCTGCCCTCCTGCCACCATGAGCTCTGCCCCAGCTCAGCAACTGGGACAATGAACCCCCAGACAGGCCCTGGGATAGGCTGTGCTGCTGGGCACCACCGCACCTGGCAAAGTCTGGGGAGCGGGAGACGACATGCTGGAACTCGGAGAGGTTGATGGTGCCGTCCTTGTCGATGTCAGACTCCTCCAGGATCTGGGGGGAAAGGGGATGGTGAGCTCTGTGCCTGGGGCCGTGCAGTGTCCGTGCCCTGCCCGACGCGCTCACGTTTTGGATGAGCTGCTCCATCTCCGCCCTGCTCAGCCGGGACTCCTCGCCCTGCCCCGTCAGGCAGTTCACCAGTTGCTCCAGGTCCCTCCTGTCCAGAGTCCCATCGTCGTCAAAGTCTGTGGGGACAGGAAAGGTACCTTTTGGCAGGGCCACAGAGACCCCAGGGAGTCACAAGCACCAGCACTGCACAGCTTCACTGTGCCAAAACAGCCATTCCCACAGGGAGATCCGAAAGCCACTGTCCCTTATGGGCGGCTCTCCTGAACATGGATTCATCCTCCCATCCCCTCTTCCTTGAGGTGTGGGGACCCCAGGAGACAGCAGCAGCCCCCAGCCTTACCAAAGATGCATGGCAAGGAAGTCTTCAAAGGACATGCTGTTGTCCCCGGCCTCCGAGGTGGAGAACACATGGCAGATCCGGTGCTGGAAGGGGTTTGCCTGTGGACACAGGAACGGCTCAGGCAGGGCTGGGCTGGGCTGGCTCCCTCCGGCACACACCGGCTGTGGCTGCTGCTCCAGCAGCTGAGCAAGTGCCCCGCTCTGCCACCAGTGCAGCACCCACAGCACAGCTGAGCCTGTCCTGTGCCTCCTGGGATGCGCTGCAGGGATCCCTGGAATCCATGGCACAGCAGGATCCCCGGGATCCTCAGCAGCTCCCTGGGGACCAGGAAGCTGTTTGTGGGCACAGCTGAGGGCAGAGCATTGGCACGGTGAGGCCGTGGTGGGTAAATCGAGGCCCTGCCCAAACATGCCCCCACCCGGGAGCAGAAGCGTCCTGAGTGTGCCAGGCACCGTACCCGCAGCTCAGGCAGCGTCAGGAGGTGGCTCTTGGGAACCCGCGCGGAGCAGGCGTTCTCCCGCTCCTGCTTTGGCAGCAGTTCACTGAACCTCTTGTAGGCACTTGAAGAGGAAAGAACAAGAGCGGCTCTGTGGTGCTCCCGGGATGGCAGCAGCCCCTCTGGGCACCGGCGGCGCTTCCCAGGGCCGGGCGGGTGCATGCCGGCCCGGGGGTCCCCCAGCTGCTCCCGGGGCCAGGGAGAGGAGCCGGCCTGGTGCTGCCCGCCCCAGGGCTGGGGATTCAGAGGGGGCTCGGGGCGGCTCCGCAGTCCCCACCCCGCCCGTCAGGGCGGACCCGGCCCGGCCCGCGCCACCGGCAGCACCCGCGGACCTTTGCCCTGTGACACCCCACTGTCAGGGAACGGCACCGGCACCTCCCGGCTCAGCGGGGCATCGCGGCGGAACGGTAGCCCCGGGGCGGGGCCGGGGCCCTCCGCGACCCCCAGCACAGCCCGAGGCCCTGGGACTACGGGGGGCCGGGGGTCTGCACCCACATCCCGCCCCACGGGCAGTACTTACAGCAGGATCTCCTGCTTGCTCAGGAACGTCAGCTCCTGCGGGGAGAGTGCGGGTCAGCACCGGGCACCGGGGGCAGTACCGGGGTCAGCACCGGGCACCGGGGGCAGTACCGGGGTCAGCACCGGGGGCAGTACCGGGGGCAGCACCGGGCGCCGGGGTCAGTACCGGGGTCAGTACCGGAGTCAGTACCGGCAGCGGGGTCAGTACCGGGGTCAGTACCGGGGTCAGTACCGGCAGCGGGGTCAGGGCCTGACCCGAGGCAACGCAGCCCCGGGTCCCTCGGCCTATGGGCAGCTGCCTCCCGGGGTCACACCGCCCCGTGTCCCCCCGGCGCCGCCCCTCTCCGCCGGTGCCGGTGCCGTACCTGGTACTCGCCCAGCGCGTCCCGCGGCAGCAGACTGGCCGAGCCGCCCATGGCGCCGCTTCCGCCACCTGTCACTCACCCGCTGCCGTGGCAACGCCCCGCGGCCAGACAGCCACGCCCACCCGTCCCGCGTAGCCCCGCCCTCCCGGCGGATCCCGAGGCCGCGGGTTCGCGGCTGAGCCCGCCCCGCACCGGCAATGGCGGCGGGCGAGGAGCGGGGCGAGCCGAGCCCCGAGGAGTTCGTGTACGGCGAGGAGGATTTCGTGCTGCAGCCGGCCGGCTGGGACGACCCGGACTCCGCGCCCTCCCGCTTCGACAGGGCGCTGCTGGCGGGCTGGAGCGACCGTATGGAGCGGGGGCTGTTCCGGTACCGGCTCGGGCCGATGCCCACCCGCGTCCTGCCCGGCCCCGTGCGCCTCGTGGCGCAGCTGAACGAGCAGCGCAGCGCCGAGCGCCGCCCACCGCAGCCCGTCCGCAGCCTCCGGGACCCCTTCGACCCCGACGCCTTCAACTTCACCCGGCTGCGCCCCGCCGAGCTGCTGCTCCGCCTGCGCCGCGCCGGGGGCCCGGGGCCGCCGCCCGACCCGCTGCTGGTGGCCATCAACGCCAGCCCGCTGGAGCGGGGCCACGTCCTGCTGCTGCCCGAGCCGGCGCGGCGGCTGGAGAGGGGATGGCACCGGGACTGAGACTGGGACAGGAACCGGCGTGGGTTGCTCCAAGGCGGGCCCCACACCAGCACAGGGGCTCTGCAGGGCCAGCTGGACCCCAGGCCCAGGCCCCGCACCAGCCCGGAGGGGCCGCTGGCTGCGGGCCAGGGCAGAGCCGGTGGCTGAACAGGCTCAAAGGGCCCCAGTGCTGCCCACAGCGAAGGTCCCGCTCGCCTGGCCGGGATTTCCCTCAGAAGCACCGAGATCTTTGTGCTGCCCAGAACTATCCCGTCATGGAGGAGGGAGGGAGGAAGGCAGGGAGGTGGCCATGGAAAGGGCTGTCACCGCGCAGGACGTGGGACCTGTCCCACAGCAGTGGCTCGTATATGGGCAGACGGGCCTGGCAGGGGCCTGTGTCCCCAGCACCCTCGTGGCACCCGTCCCGCAGCCAGACAAAGGCAGCAAAGAGTGAGGGTGAAACCAGAGCCCTTTATTTGTGTCCTCACAGGGGCTGGGGGAGGAAGAGGCCGGCGCAGCCAAGCAGCTGCTGGGCTGGAGCCAGAGGAGGGGCAGAGAGGGAAAGGGAGGAAGAGGAGAACAGGCTTTGAGAACGGTCAGTGCTGAGGCAGCACGGGGGAGTCCAGCTGCGCACCCGTGGGCTGTGCCAGTGGGGAAGGAATGTGTCCTGTGCAGCCGTGGGGGGACAGCTCTGCTGTGGGTTGGCACCTGTACAGTGACACTTGGGTTATTGCTCAGAGAAACGGCCCCGTTTGGGTTATTGCTCAGGAAAAACGATCCACAGTTTGGTTAGTGCTCAGAGGATCCATGTTCGGGTTACTGCTCAGAGAAATGAATCCATGTGGCAGCAGGGACGCTCCCAGGAAGATGAGGAAGCTGAGAAGAGGCTGGAGAGGGAGGCAGCTCTCTGCCTGCTGCTGGAAGGCACAACTTGGGAATTGGTCTTTAGGGATTTGGGAGTTGGTCCTGAGGGCAGGGAGGGGCTGTGCTGGCACAGAGTGGCCCCAGGCAGGAGCAGCTCAGCCTCCCCCACCTGCAGAGCTGCCCTTAGACTGCTTATGGAGTCAAACTGGTGCTGGGAGAACAGAGGGGCTGCAGGAGAGGCAGATTCCTAGGGCCCCCCACTGCCAGGCACCTGAGAGGAAAGCAGGAGGGCTCCTGCCCAAGGCACTGTGGCATTGCTGGGCCAGTGAGGGGCCAGGCCTGTGCTCTCTGAAAGAAAAAATGGCTGAGCCCACAAGGAGCTGCAGGAGCCAGAGGAGCGCTGGAGGAACTGGAGGAGTGGTGGAGAAACTGGAGGAATGATGCTGGAGGAACTGGACAAGTGGTTCTGGAGGAACTGGAGGAGTGGTGCTGGTGAGACATGGGGCTCACATGACGATCTTGAAGGAGCTGCAAGAGATACAACAGGTTCTGCACCTCCTCGCTGGGTCACACAAAGAGTTTGCGAGCGCCCACTGCTGCAGGGACCCACGTTCCCATGTGGGAGAGGCTCTGCAGAGCCAGCTTGGGATGCAGCTCGCTCTGCCATTGTGGCAGACCTGGCAGAGGGCAGCCCTGCCCTCCTGCCACCATGAGCTCTGCCCCAGCTCAGCAACTGGGACAATGAACCCCCAGACAGGCCCTGGGATAGGCTGTGCTGCTGGGCACCACCGCACCTGGCAAAGTCTGGGGAGCGGGAGACGACATGCTGGAACTCGGAGAGGTTGATGGTGCCGTCCTTGTCGATGTCAGACTCCTCCAGGATCTGGGGGGAAAGGGGATGGTGAGCTCTGTGCCTGGGGCCGTGCAGTGTCCGTGCCCTGCCCGACGCGCTCACGTTTTGGATGAGCTGCTCCATCTCCGCCCTGCTCAGCCGGGACTCCTCGCCCTGCCCCGTCAGGCAGTTCACCAGTTGCTCCAGGTCCCTCCTGTCCAGAGTCCCATCGTCGTCAAAGTCTGTGGGGACAGGAAAGGTACCTTTTGGCAGGGCCACAGAGACCCCAGGGAGTCACAAGCACCAGCACTGCACAGCTTCA